GCGGACTCCACGGACAAAGTGAGCATCGCCTCCTTCCACCTGACAGGCGACAAACACTTGTGGTACCACCAGTATAAGGGCGCCCATGGATTTCAACCTGCCATCGCATCGCTGAATTGATAAATGATAAATATTCAGTTTGGACCGCCAGCTTGCAGCAGCGCCCTATGAGAAGTCATCTCCTTCAAGCACACAGTCATGGTGGCAGAGTACAACAAGAAGCTCAATGCCCTCTTGTGCTGAGTGCCAGAACTCCCGGAGGATCAGGTGGTTTCCATCTACGCCACTAACCTGCAGGAATCTTTACAGCTTGATGTGGAGATGTGGAGAACGGATAGCCTGCTGGACGCCATGAGTTTGGCTCGCTTGTGCAAGCGACGTGCAGTGGACGTCCCCAACAGCTCAGCAAGTAGCACTAGGTGTTCACCAGCCATTCCCAGACCTCGGAGCTCCACCTGCACCTGCAATTCCAGTAGTACCACCTCCAGGACAGGCAATAGTAGCAGCTCCAGCAGCCCACCCACAAGAAACTCTCCGTCTTATTGATCCAGATTCAGACGACGGCAAAGTAGACACTTCTATGGAGGCTGCAAGGGGCTAGCAGCAGTCCTTGGTCCAGCTCGAGGATGAGCTGTTCAAAAAGGGAGGGAGAGATGTTATGTGGGGATAGATTGCACAATAAGGCCACCAAGGAGAGGGTCACAGCTGAAATTGAAGGGGATAAGTATCCCTAGTTATCCTTAGCAGTTTAGTTCTCTTAGGAGTATTTCTTAATTCTCAAGTTATTTATCTACTGAAGCTTGTTAGTTTGGCTTAGCCTCCAAGTTTGTAAGAGCATGTACCATGGAGGTAGCAGCAAGGTGCTGCCTCCGTACATCCACGTAGGCTTGGAGAGCTGGGGCCATTGCCCATACGGATAACCGTCCAACCCCTCATGCTGCCTCACAGGTCCCTGCATGCGCCTTTGCTTCCCCAGTTTGCCACACCCTTTTTGTCCTTCCCTTCTCTCTCTTTCCTTACAGAAATGTAGGGAAAGGCCGCGTACAATAGATCCAAAGTGGTCGGACCCTGCGCAAGCGGGAGCTACATGCACCGGGTTGCCCTTTTCTCTCTCTTTCCTTTCTTTACTGAAGCAGCGGCCTTCTCTTCAGGCTAGCAGTTAGTTGCCGCCTCGAGGCTAGCAGTTTGCCACCATGGATTCCGAACCTAGCTGGACCTGCGGGCAGTAGGTTGGGCCTACCTATTGGCCATGCCCAAAGCTGGCTACACAATGCCTAGCATATCCTCCCCAAGTTTCTCCCGTGCTCTTGTTGTGCTAGGCTCGGCGTCGCACCTCATCTGTCCAGGGCCATCTACAATGTTCATAACATCCAGTGTGATGAAACCATTACTATATCTTGGTATCCATTGGTATAGAGCTTATGCATGAAATCACATTCTATCAAGTGAAATTTTATGGTAAAAACTACGAACTATGATTTATAATTGATAAGTAGCAGTGAAGCCTAGCACAGTTGGGAACTAAATAAGATACATTGTTTTAAAACAAAAACCTGGACTGATCTATACATATGTCATCCATTTTTTTCTTTTTACTATGCCCTTTGTAACACTTACGAATCATTACCAAACAGTGGCGGGCACAGTCCATCATATATGTACCGGCTTATTTCGGAGTACTACTCAGCTGATGATTTGGTCGTACGGCAGAAGTCAACATCTTAAAAGAACACAAGGCACGGTGGACTACTCGTGTGTTACCATTATTTATATGAAGATAATGTGGGGTCTTGTTGAAGCCCAAATGATGTTGCCACAACCATTGCCGTTCTTCCTTTTGCCTGTATGTAGGGTTGGACGGGGCTGCTCTCTTCAGTGTAATAGGCTGTTTCCCCCTGGAAGTTCAGTTGTGTAACATCATGCTCCTTGTGATAATTTAATTTTGTGGCTTCTTTTTCTGTGTAAACGGCTGAGGCAATGAGCGCCAAGCGCAACCGTCTAATCTATATGAATTGTATTAACTGTAGAAGCTAGATACAGTATGTGACGCAGAATGCAGTGTTGCGGTTTGAAGGAAAGAGTAGAGGACTGGTTTAGCACAAATTTTGTCTGCTCTGAATCCAAAATATTAAACTTTGGTCTGGTGTCTGTCATTGTTAGAAATTCAATCTGTTCATGAAATTACATTACAAAACTCATTGTCAAGTCTGCAATGTGCGTTACTCGTATATAAGCTGGCACCGGTAAGTGGCCATCAAAACATTTACAAAACTTGATCAAATGTTTATAATGGTTGTAGGATCTAGGGGAAGCCATTTCTCACATTGTGCATCTTGTTTTACGTCAAGATCATTTATGCACATGTGCAGGGGGTGATTTCCTTTATCACACAACAAAATTGATGTCCTAACATATCATATTTTCACCTATCGAGAGTTATGTGTTTTGTCAACTACCAAAAAGGAGAGATTGAAGGTGCAATCATATATTGATGTTGATGACATATATGAACTAATTATGTTTGTAAGTATATCACATGTTTTAGTCCCTGCAGAATCATATGTTTGTGGATCATGGTCTACATATTTCTACATTATGTTTCTAAGGAACAAAGATAGCTTAGTTTTTCGGGTTTGTTCTCGAGTATAGGGATCCCGCACTATTAAGAGTGGATCATTGGGGCACGTGAAAGAATTGTTCAATGGTTTATTCCTATGCTTATCATTCATATCTTTTACTTATGTCACACACGTTCACCCACCATATATTTCATATGGTGTTTGTTCACAAAATCCATTCTGTGAGCTATTAGGAAAAGTGCATGTTTTTCACTGTCTACAGAAGGTTTTCAACAGATTTCTGGGTCCGGTCACTCCAATGCCACCAGATGTCCGGTGGACGCTGTTCGGAAATCCGGCGGCACACCTACAGAAGGTTTTCAATGGATGTCTGGTCTTCTCTAGACGTCTGGTCGCTCCGATGCCATACCGGACATCCGGTAAAACCATCCAGAGCCAAACTCAACGGATTTCTAGTCCTCATTGGAAATTCAGCTTGATCCATCAAGTACCGTTTTAACGGATTTTTGATCCTCATTGGACGTCCGGTGCTCCTCGAAACACCGGATGTCTGGTACTCCAGACATCCGGTACTTCGGGCTTTTAGCTGTTCTCAGCTATACACCTACCCTCTGACCTGCTTCAGCCATCGGATGTCCGGTGGTGTCATTGGATGTTCGGTGTCTCGTTTGCCACCGCACGTCGGATAACCCACCGGTCGTCCAACACTTAGCAACACAACTTCATCCAATGGCCACATTTGCTCTTGTGCTATATGTACCCCTCTCCCACTCCCGAGAGGGTTGACCACTTTATTCCAAATACCCCAAGAACCCTAGAAGTGCTCCCTCTCACCCTTCCACACCAAATCCTAGATCACGGAAGCGTTTGTGAGAGTTCTTGAGAGTTGTTTCAATCAAGTGATAGATCTACTCCCTCCCCTCCTTGTAACCGAAGCAAATCATGATTTGAGCAAGTCTTGAGCTTTTCCCTTTGATGTTGTTACTCTTGGAGGTTGGAGACTCTTGGGCGGCACGGGTTCTTCGGAGAGGAATCATTCATTGTGATTACCCCCCGAAAGTTTGTGAAGGTTTGGAGACCACCTCAAGGTCTATCACTAGTGGTTGAGAAACGCCTTCGTGGTGTTGTCTCAATGGGAGAATAGGGTGAGCCTTCGTGGTAACATTCACCCCTCCAACCAGTCTCCAACGATGGCTAGCTTCCCTCCAAGGAATTGAACTCGACATACATCCTTGTCTCCCGGAGTTACGGTTATCCCTAACTCTAACTATCTACTTGTGCTTATTTGTCTCTAGTCTTTACTTTACATATTATTGTGCTTGCTTACCTTGCTACTTGGTGTTGTTGAATATATTGCTTAACACTAGATTCACCTTAGCAATTGTTAGGCTCACTTTCATATTCCGCTTTATTGCCTAAAATTGCTAGTAACAATTAAATTTATATTTGCACCTATTTACCTCCTCTAGGCCCATCTCGATCCTTTCACCTGTGTCGACTTCGTTGGGCACCGGCGGTGGCGATGCCTTGCGGCGTCGTATCCTTCCTTGGAAGCATCGTCGTGTCATGCTCCTCTCCTTGCCTATCATGTATGCTTTTTGGGCATCACAAGATCTAGCTCCTGGATCAGACGGTGGCGGCGCCCTGGCGCTCTAACCACCATGGTGGCACTGTCTCGGAGGTGTTGATCCCTACTGGTCGTTGGAGATCTCGGGGTGGTGATTGGCTGGTTGAGGTTTGTGGTTGTGGGTTGGTGTGGCCGGTGGTGGTGGTGCGGCCGGCTTGGGGTCGACAGTAGTTGTTCGGCGGTGTTCTTTGGGGTTCGGCGGTTGTGCCTTTGGCGCCGCAGTGCGGCCATCAGTTTCCCCTCGCGAAGGTGCCTCGCCCCTGTTGTTGTGCATGTTGTCATTGTATTGCGACGAGCTTCGGGCTCTTGGTGATGTTTTGGCTCATCTTTGCTCATGGATGGCGCAAGATGCCTCCCGAACTTGCTAATCGTTCCGAATTTCTGTGGCGGAGCTCCCAGTCAAGGTTCGCGTTATTGCACTCGTTGATTGTAACTGCTCCTGAGTTGCGCTGTCGGGCTCGTTACGCACGCCAGTGTGGTGCGCTATGTTGCTTGTAAAGTCTGGTATTGTGATTCCTCAACAACACCCCACATTTACTTGTCTTTCATGGCGATGGTTCTTATGTCCTAAGCGTCCTTTTTACTTTCTCTCATCTTCTTTTACCCCTGCTATTTGTAAGGTTTTTGGTCCAGTTTCCCTCGTAAACAAAGTCAACTTGTTCAGGGTTTCGATCCGGTTTTCCTTATAAACTGGATCAACCAAAGCCCTTTTTCGCGAATACGCAAAGTGATCATTGCATTGATAGAAGGAAAGCAGAATGAATACATAAGAGGATACAACACATAATATGGACGCATACATCAGCAGACGTGGACATGGGACCCATAGCAGGGAGACACATGATGCTCAGCCCGGACAAAGAAAAAAACACAGCTAAACCACCAAGCCAAGCCCAGGTAGAGGGGCAAGCCGAACCGACAAGGCGTCGATCATCTCTAACTCCAGCACCAGGGATGCCGCAAGCAAGCAAGCTGTCGCCTTCAAGAAGGGGAGCGACGTTGTGATGTTGCCGCCATCCGATCCGAAGAACCGGACCAAGGGTTTCCCCCGGTGCTCGAAGAAGGGCACGGATAGAGGCTATGGCACCACCTCCAAGAAGGGAAATGACACCCGTGGGTGCCGCCGCTGCCAGCGTTGGCGAGCTGAGCAGGGATTTTGCCATGGCTTGAGTCTGAGCAATCCCATTGCAGCAGATAAGGGTCTGGAGATGGGAAAGTCGCTTCGTTGGTCAAGATTGCCACCCCAGGAGGAGGTGGGCGGGGTTGCGCCTGCCGTCGATGGGTGGCACAGGGCGACGCCGAAAAAACGCAAAATTTGGGATTGGGACATTGTGGAGGTGGAAGGGGTCGGAGGGCGGGAGGACGGAAAGAGTCAACTAGGGGGAAGGGATGGCAACCGACGCCACCGGCAAGAGCCAGAAAGGAGCGCATATCCAAGCTACCGGGGATGGTGCCCCCAAGACGCCGACAAGTCGAAGGCTGGAGAGGACGCAACAGTCAGAGCGTCGGGGGCGGAATGTAACACCCACGATGCGGCTATATCTCCCACCTGTCGGAGCATGCTAGAGGCATAACCGCATTATAGGCAATGTCGCAAGAGGGGTAATCTTTACACATCCCATGTACTGAATAAGAAAGAGGTACATAGTTGGCTTACAATCGCCACTTCACACAAGGACATAAATATAGCATTACAATCATCCAGATACAATCAAGGTCCGACTACGGAACCAAAATAAAGACAGCCCCAAATGCACAATGTCCCCAATCGTCCCAACTGGGCTCCACTACTGATCGTCTGGAAAGGAAATGTAGTATCGTCCTGAGCCCTCATCGAACTCCCACTTGAGTTCAGTCGCATCTCCTGGATGGTATCATCGGCACCTGCATTTGGTTTTGGAAGTAATCTGTGAGTCACGGGGACTCAGCAATCTCACACCCTCGTGATCAAGACTATTTAAGCTTATGGGTAGGTAAAAGGTATGAGGTGGAGCTGCAGCAAGCACTAGCATATATGGTGGCTAACATACGCAAAAGAGAGCGAGAAGAGAAGGCAAAGCACGTTCGAGAATCTATGATCAAGAAGTGATCCTAGAACTACTTACGTTCAAGCATAACTCGATACCGTGTTCTCTTCCCGGACTCCGCCGAAAAGAGACCATCACGGCTACACACGCTGTTGATTCATTTTAATTAAGTTAAGTTTCGGGTTTTCTACAACTGGACATTAACAAATTCCCATCTGCCCATAACCGCAGGCACGACTTTCGAAAGTTCAAATCCCTACAGGGGTGTCCCAACTTAGCCCATCACAAGCTCTCACAGTCAACGAAGGATATTCCTTCTCCCAGGACGACCCGATCAGACTCGGAATCCCGGTTACAAGACATCTCGACAATGGTAAAACTAAACCAGCAAAGCCACCCGATGTGCCGACAAATTCCGATAGGAGTCGCACATATCTCGTTCCCAGGGCACACCGGATAGGTCAAGCTACGAGTAAAACCAACCCTCGAGTT